CTGTAGACGTGATTATGTACTCTATAGTTCAAAGCTATTGTGACCTGATTTTCACGTAGTGTTTCGTGTATTACAAGTTTATTGTACCAAGAGCACACATGGCTTATTAGCCTTGGCCATTCTCATAGTATAGAATCGACCCGGATGTTGTATTACTACAGGGCAGAAGTATACACTCAAAGAACCAGCCTTGAGCTTGAACAGACTGTCCCGTCGCGGCGCTTCGCGCCGCGCCGCGACGGATGTTCATCTTCGACGCCGAGGTCCTCGCTCCGCTCGGCCCTCGGCGTCCCAGCGCGGGCGCTTCGCGCCCGCGCAACTATGTTCGGCGCGCTACGCGCGCCTCACGGCTATGATTCGAATGCGAGGGACGTGAAAACAGGCTTTACTGCCGCGTCGAGTGTGCCAGCGGCCATCACCAAGTGCTCGGCACTTCCCGAGACCCGCGAGGGTTGCTGCCGGGATTCCCGGATCGGGTCCCCCTTGGCTCAGCCGGTGCGGTGGCACTGGGCGACTACGGTGTGTTGTCGGGCGATGGCGAAAGCTTTGAAAGCTTCCAGGTTCTTGGCAATGTCTTCGAAGATGGAAGCAGTCACATACTTGAGCGGGTCAAGGAGGTCGATGGCGAGGTTGTGCGGTGGGATAGCGGGCGACCGGATAGAGAACAAGCGAGACCTTACCTACTGCCCGACGAACTTGGAGGGTGCGTGTATTGTGCTTACTTGAAATGCTATCGCTCATCTATCGGCGCGTAGATGGCCTATTGCGCTGATGCCACAGGGAGAAGCAACTGTGCTCACTTCCAGACGTGAGCACCTTACGTGCGGGAGCGAGGCATGGAGATACTTCTTGAAGCACGCCTCTTCTCTCGCGCAAAGATACGGTGTCGCTGTCCACTCGCTAGATCTTGGTATGTGCGCTCGTGCGTCTGCGAAGATGCATCTAACGTGTGTACGCAGTCACTCGGACACGCAGCGTCAATGACTTCCAGGTCACCGATTGGTCTGCACCACCCATTACCACACCCGGGCGCGATCGTGCATCACCACTCCCCCCACACATCTCACTTCGGTGCACGCACCTCTCACGGATTTGGGCACCCATTCGGCAATCCTATACCGACGCCGAACATCGTGTACCTCTTCACGTCCGGCAAACAAGACGCTGTGCCGTATCTGACCGATGACCCGATGAGATGGCCTCGTCCAGAACCGACGCGGTCTACTAGCTGGTGTTTCAGCTGCTCTTCGGGATGGTGAGTATCTACTTGGCAATATACTGCGTCCGTGCGGAGGGACTGAACTCTTGTTGCAGGCCTGTACATCATGTACACTATATCCAGCTAGACCCGGAAGATTAGATATCTCTCATTCTTGAGCCCACGATTGACGCGTTTGTTTAGCCTTGATGTACGGCTTCACGCTCTCCCTCAAGAATGAGATCGTGAAGATTGCACCGCGTGCACGCGTTAACTGTGTGGCGCCAGGCGGGGTGAGACTTCAAGAAGTCTTAAATCGCACTTTACTAATGGTAACACGGCTGCAGGTGAAGACACCAATGGCCACAAAAGCACTTGCAAACCCGCAAATCATCTGTCAGGCACAGGCTACGTATGTATATTTCAGACACGAACATTCGGTTTTCTATGCTCACGTACCCCTTCCCACAGGACACCCCTCAAGAAGGTCGCTGAGCCGCGCGATGCGGCCAACCAGATAGTACTGCTGCCGAGTACGAAGGTCTCTGGACACATCACGGGTCAAGTCCTGATGGTCAGGGAGGGATGGAGGGCCGCCTTCTCAATCGCGTTGTAGATCTTGGGCTTTCGGTGGATGCATAGGCGCGCGGACGTGGTGAAGTGAGGACACATTTTTAGGCTCTTATCTGTATCTCCGTCATGAGCCCCGTGTCTTCATAGCACTACGCCAGTGCTTTGATGTATACAGCAGTAGTCCTAGAACCTGCTGTCAGACGAGTGTGCGTTCGTGGTGTGGCCCCTGTACGGTAATGAGAAGAGTACCTGCCTTTTGGCCGAGGCATGTGAAGTTGCGAAATCAACATCCCGTCATCGAGGGGTATATATGCCGGTCATCGTTCCGTAGAGTTCTACGCGCCGCACGCTGTAGCGCGCCAGCACGGCTGCCTTCCTGCCACCACAGACCATGGCCGCGCTGGCACCGTACGTCGACGTATCAAAGACGCTCTCTTCCTCTCTCTCGGCGCGATCGCCTTCAACTCTATAGCGTGGAATATCGTCGCTCGCAATGGTGTGCAGCACACACACAGGCCTTATTCGCGTCGACAATGCTGACAATATTGTATAGAGTATCATAATAAGACGATCACGCGCATATTTGGCGGGAATGTGTATGCGGGCACCTACTTCCTGCCGTTTGCATCTTCGGACGCGGTATCCTGCGCGACCATCTGTGAGTCTCGCAGCTGGTCATTCTAGTTGTGCTGTTCTGACATACGACCTGCAATAGATATCAACGCGCATTGTTAGAGCAACCGAAGGTCTCTGCTTCCCGAGCTGCTCGACACGCTCATCCCCGTGGCACTGTTCGGTCTCGACCAGCTCTTCGTCGTCACCTCGACCTGGGCGCTCGGAATCACCGGAACGTTCCTGGGCGACTACTTCGACATCCTCATGGATGCCCGCGTTGAAGATTTTCCTTCCAACGTCCTGCGGGACCCAATGTACGTTGGAAGCACCATGTGCTTCGCGGCTATTGCCCTCTGGTATGTTGGCCGTTCGTGCCTTCGGTCTCCTGTGAGGCTTACACGTGCGTTACGCCAGGTATGAGCGGCCTGCTGGCTTGTTAATTACCTTGTACGTGTACATCGTGTACATATTGGCGCTCAAGTACAAGGGGTACGTCTTCTACTTAATCTGCCTGCAGATAGATTCTGATAGTAAACACAGCCCGTTCACCGACATGATCTACTCGAACCGTGCGTTCGCACAAGCGGCAGCTTCCAAGAGGCCGTCGTCGAAAAAGGAGCTTTGAGCTCTTGAACTTGCTCTTATACGACATGACCTGTAACGACTCTCAACAGTCTCTGTAATGTTTGCGGATCCAGATGCCACTCATGTGTACACTACCACGCACTATATTCAACTAGGGTATCGCGATGCCGCGATTGTTTTTCAGCATCCTCGTCTCACAGATGCTAGACCGATACCCCGCGCTCTGCAAGTATCTTCTTGCTCTTCTCCGCAAAGCTCGACGTGTTGTAGCCCGTCAGATCAAGCTGAGGGTAGAATGTGTCGCGTACGTCTCGCGTCAGTGGCGTCAGTGCAAGGTCGTATTGAAGACGAATAGGGAGGTCGGGCTGTGAGTACTATGATTAGTACATGCTTCTATCACTGGGCATTGCACTTACATCTGAGGTGTAGTCGCGCCCAAAGGCAACGAGCGCATGCTCGTCTGTCTCCGCCTGTGCGATGGCTGTCTCGCGCGTGTATCCATTGTCGGTGACATAAGGCTTGCCTTTCCAGATCTCGTGCAGGAAGTCACTGGACTCGTTCCGCTTTACAGGGCGCCCATTCCAAGTCGGACCGAATCGGGGCTCGACGTGCAGATATGCGAAATCGAGGTGGCGCCGACGTAGCTCAGACACGAAGTATGAGAAGGTCGGAACGGGATCGTCGTTCTCTACAAGTATCAGGAAGTAAGGGTGATAGACCTGAACCTGATGAGCCGATAAGCTCACCGTAGTCTTTGCCCCGGACGGTATCCCAAGGCATGAGCTTGATCCCGAGGCGATCGACACTTACTTCGAGCGCCATAGCATCATAGACCTCAAGTGTGAAACGCGCACGGTTCTCAGGCGTCCCACCGTACTCGTCCGTGCGCGTATTCGAGAACTCCTTCTGAAACTCGCCAAGCAGATATCTGGCGCCGGCGTTGACTTCAATCCCGTCGAAGCCCGCCTCGTTGACGGCTAGCTTGGCAGCGTCCGCGTGCAGGCGGACGTTTTCCTGGATCTCTTCAATGGTGAGCGCGCGTGGAGCTCGGCTTCTTCCCTCTATGGGTATACCTGATGCGGAGATGTATGGCGGTGATGGGTCCACCGCGGCCAGGAGGTCTGGGTCGGCCTCGCGGCCTAATACCCAAAATTGGAATATTATAAAAGAGCCGCGAGCATGGACGGCGTCGGTCACCTACATGGGGTCGGAGAAACAGCGAACACGAGTACGACGGAAGAACTCACCTTCTTCCATGCCCGGACTTGCTCAGGTGTCCATAGACCTGGAGTATGCTGCCCGAGATCAAAAGCGGCACCCTTGGGTGTGATGTAGGTCGCCTCCGCTATAAGCAACGTGCCGGGCACGGTAGCGCGAAGGGTGTAATGCTCGACGACGTCGTCACCCACTACGCGCGTGTCCTTGCCAACGCGGTTGCGGGTCATTGAAGGGTGGACGATGCAGTGCTGTAGTTGCATGCGTCCGACTTGGATGGGCTGGAAGAGGCGGGATGTAGACATGGTGTTCAAGATCGAAGTCGAGACGTGGAAAATGATGTAGATGCAGTCAGTTTGATATGCAGCACTTCTACACAGTCTCCTTGGATATACTCAAGCGCTATACCCGCCGCGCTTGTCGGACATAACGACGTCGGAGGCTATACAGAGCGGAGGTTCGGCCATGGTCCCTGAGATGATCAGCCTCGGGCTAGCACGAGAGACCTCAATGCATAGCTGAGCACCTACGCGTAATGATGTCGATATGCCACAGGATTACTTCAGCTTATATGAATGTCCGAGTCCGACCGGGACTCTAGTGCACGGACTTCCCGCGCCCCGGCAGAGACGCGTGTAGACAATACGACAACTTCAAGTAGATATCTCCATCCAAGTAGATGGGACGGCCCCTTCTGGCCTAAAGGATACGGCCAGCACAGGCATCGTCGGCATATATGGGTTTCTCCGTAACATCGCAAGGATCACGACAACTGGCACAGCGCCAGCATTGGCGGTGAGAGTAATGGTAGCCTTCGGGTCGACTCGGCTATCGCTCGGCATTTAACAAACGGGACCGACATACAACAATAAGTGTAACACCCAAACGTCTTCCTACTCCTTGCCAAAGACGTAGTTCTTCGTCGTCTCCTCCCAGAGCTTACGACAGTCAACGCGAGCTCCGAGTCTTGACGCCAGTAAGAAGACCCCGCTCAGTTTCCTTTCATATCATCAGCATGCATGCCACTTCTCCAATACAACAAGAAATACACGAACCTACTCAGGGAGTACGTCTCCCGCGGCGGCGGCGTCAGTCGGTATTTCAGCATGACCGGTATGTATCTGGTCCCGAATCTCCTTCGTGATACTCGTCCACTCACTCCCAGGTCCAAACGCAAACGGCTGGACCGTATCCTGGCGGAACGGCGTAGCGAGTAGCTGCATGCTGCGCCCATGCGCGCGAACCATGACGTCCTCCTCCTCGCCCGTGAGGTATCCGAGCGCGAGACCGGCCTCAACGCAGGCGTCGTGGTCGCCAGCCGCGGCGGCGCTCAGTAGGCGCAGCCAGTTATCCATGAAGCGCCCCGAGTATGTACACGTGGCGCCGAAGTCGACGAGCTCGACTTCGCGCGTGCGGTCATTCCAGAGGAAGTTCGTCCAGTTCGGCTCGGTCTGCATGGCACAGAAGCGGAAGAGCTCGAGGAGGCAGAGCTCGATGATGCGGGAGGCGATCTGTAGCGGTGCGCGTTTTAGACTTGCGAGGATGATGAGATGTTGAGAGGACGCATGTCATCTTTGTCGTGTTGGGATAGGCGCTCGACGAGCTCCCCGCCGACGCTCTTTCCATTCACGTGTTCCATCACAAGTATGGACTGCGAGCTGCCGTCCCATACCCACGGTACCTTGAAACGCTCGTTACCCCCGAGTGGTCTGCGTCACCGAAGGTACGCAGGAAGTTCGCTTCGCGCGTGTAGTCGCATTCGTCGGCGAGCTCTTCCTTCATGGCCTACAAATGTAGTATGTCAGCACAGTTGGCACAACGTTGGGAAGATTGAACACGGACGGTGATAGTCTTGTCCAGAAACAGCCCCTTTGGCAGTAGTTGGCCGGCGGTGAGGAGCACCATGAGGTATCCGATATCGCTCTCGACGCTCTGGCGAATATTCGGGAATTGAATCTTCACCGCGACGGCCTCGTTCTTCCCGGTGGGCAAGACAGCCGCTGAGAGAATCGCGCGGTGAACCTGGCCGATGGACGCAGCAGCGAACGGGATGGGATCGATAAACACGGAATTATCTCGCCATGAATCGCCAAGAGAGGCGGTCATCACTTCCTTTCCTCGTATCAGTACAAGTGCAAGCTGGGTCCAGAATGCCGTAGGCGAACCTCCATTTGCCAGTTCGGTATGTAATGCGCGCTATTCTGAACGCGGCGAAACACTTTCTCGACTTCTGGCGGCAGAACGTTATCATCAAGCAGCATGTTCTCGAACGTCATGATAGATAGATGGTCCTTGTATACTCAAGAACTGGGCCACTTCGAGCGTCGCCCCGCGCATCTGCCTTAGCTTCCTGACAAGCCGCGAGATGTTGGCTTCGGTCATTATGAGAGAGCCAGACGAGCCAGCGCCACGGAGAAGCTGCGTCGCGGCGCCATCTCCAAGTGATGCAGCAAGACCTAAGCGTAGTCAAGCACCGCTCGATTACGTGGTAGAAGATGACGTACCTCCATAGTGAAAGAACCTTCCTATGCAAGAGGAGAGAACTCGGGAAGACCGTAGAGATCTTTTAGCCTGCGGAACTGCCATATCCGCCAGATGGCGGTGGCGGTCGAAGAGGAGGAATACGCCAACACGCGCGCGGAGGCCGGGGAGGACCTGCGGCGTGTGGCGGCGGCCTTCTCACACGCTAAGCGTGGCCGCGCCGATCTAAGTGTCCACGAGTACGCTCGTGGGCACTTCCATAACACAGCTTTTCGAGGTCAACAACGTAAGTACTGCTCGTCAACACGCTCCACATGTCCGCGTCGCGGCTCTCAGCACAAAACTTGACCACGTTTGCACCTTCGACCACGACTACCACCGCGCATAACGCCTCACGTAACGAATTCTTGTACGTTTGACGTGTCTGTCATATCCTATCACCTGCTAAGCGTATCTCAGATCTTCTAAGCGCTGCTCGACCTTTGCCAAAGCCTCATCCTCAATGCTGAGTCCAGAGGAAGCCGGCCCATCGCGGCCCACAAAACGAATGCGTCGCGATTCCACAGTATGCTGCATCCAACCAAAGCTATGTCTGGTTTACATAAACTCCTCATGCAGCCTCCCGTCCGAGCTGTCCGAGCCCCCTTCGAGCGGGCACCTACTTCTCAAAACCATCCTGGGACAAGTCGTGAGGCCCCGCATTGTCATCTCAGCGAGCGCCCATCTCATTATTCAACTACTATATGTACTCCAGCTTCCGAAGTCGCGGAAGTGCTGGAGACAGAAGACTTGCTCCCTACTGAGCCCCTTCCGGACGATGACGACGCGGATGCCGATACTGATGAGGATGACTGTGACCGACAGATGCCCGTGCGAATGCTCACTGAGTTCTGTGCATTCCAGGAGTATGAAGGCCGGCGCGTGATTCAGTCTCTAGAGGACTACTCGTCAACCCGTCTCCTAGCCGTCGGCTATGCGACGCCGTACTTCTGGGACCCGGACGCTGGTCACGACGAAGATCTTGCACACAGCGCCGTTCGCTTACGAACGACCCCTATTCGTGACATATATGTTCACTATACAGAATATGACCGGTAAGCAATCCGACATACAGGAATTTGGATCAACGATGGTACTCATATATCTCATGCTTCGCTCAGGCTCATTTGGATCAAGACCGCTCACGCGTGGTATGTACTTTGCGAGGCCAGCGCAGAGTATCGAGAGCAGTACACGCCCTTTGCGAACAAGCAATTCAGCCTGCAGCTTCTTGGCTCCATGGCAGCTCATCGTCAAGTTTCTCTTGAGGAGTACTATGATGTTCTTGAACGCGAGATACCGGGATATGAATGTCGAGAGATAAATCTGCAAGACTTCGTCCGCGCATTCGCCTATCTTCGCGTGCTTGTTCTGACAACGTTCTTCAGACGACCTTATTGAGCCAGCTCACTTTGGAAGAGGGCCAGTCATTCCTCTGCAGCCCGCTGATACACGCTTTACGCAAAGAATATGGTTCCCTCGACAAAGAGATGCTGCCACCGCCCTCTGCTACTCGTGCGCCCAGGTGTCGACCCATCGTCTATAACGGCAGCCCGCGCAACCTTGACGAGTACCATCTCCAGCATGAACAGTCGACGCGCACTTGTGTCTCGCCCTTCGTCGATCGTTTGAGGCAAAAGTACCATCCATCGTGGGCGGTGGACAGCATAGTTACCCGCTGGGAATGCGACGAAGACAAACTTTTCGAACCAAGCGCTCAGCGCAAGGCAGCGGAACATCAGCATCTTCTCAATTGTGTAAGGCGCGCACGCGACGATGTCGACGACGAAGTCAGGGTGCTTAGCCGCAATAGCGAGGGCGATGTTATCGCTGTTCGTGTTGGCTCTGAGACTTATTCCGTACGCCCCAAATCGCTCTAGTCGTGCAACTGTATACTGATCATCGGCAGATTGGAGATGTTGTGGTGTTCTATCCCACGTCTTCATGGAAAGGCGAAAAGTCCGACCCACTCCCAAAAGAAGACAGCGAGATTCCTGTTGGAACTCGACTGGAGGATCTAGTCTTTTGGTGGGTCATCACCGCTCCCGTGATATACGCTGACTTACCCTTTGCAGGTTTGCTCGATTGATCTCTATCGAGGAGCCTCTCCCACCTAAGAAGAAGTCCAAAGGCAAGAGCAAGTCCACCTCTAGCGGAAGCGACCAGATGCTATGCCACGTTGTCTGGTTCGAACACGCAGCTCGTACATTCGTAGGCGACGAAGCGGATCCACGCGAGCTGGTGTTTTGGCCACATCAGTGTGACGATCAGCCTTTGGCGGCCATTCACGGCAAGGTGGGTGTACACATGATGTACGAGTCGGGTGTTGTCGCCGATCTTCCCGTCGACTGTTCTTACTTCTGTCGGTGGGTATGGATCGTATCCGTTCAGTTTTGACATGCTGACACTTCCTAGATTCGAGTACACAGCGGTACTGGGCTATCGGTCCATTCCTCCTCCTCCTCCATTTGACATGCCGCTCTGCATGAACTGTTCTACCCGAAGTTTACGACGACTAGAGGACGACTGCACTCCCCTCATGGTTGAGGTCGGATTCCGAATGCACGGGCAGCTCTACCACACTGACGACTGCTGTCTCTTCTATGCGTCCGACGAGCCCAGCTTACCAGGAAGTTTAGCACTGGCGAGGATTGGGCAGATCGTGTCTTACCACGTCAAAACAAGTTTCTTGGAGTTGAGGGAGTTCGGACGTATCGCGGACTTTGCAGCATGTCTGGGAGACGAGAGAGTCGAGCGCAGTTGGGATGCAGTAAGTCGGATAAGAACACTACGTGTGCTCGATCAAGCTTATGAAACCAACATTAGCAACAACTCTTTGTCGGGCCGCTCGTCCAGGTCCATCCTGAGGACGTCGTGGGGCCTTGCAAAGTCTCGCATCGCAATGCCATTCCCCAAGGAGATGTTGTTTCATACGTTTCGGCCTCTTCGACCAACTTCTGGGTTCGTTATAAATCTTGGGATGAGTCCCTGGATATCGCCTCTGCCGACGACCTTGAAGAGTTGGAACCCGACGACGTCCCGTCATGCAGCGGGTGTACTCACAACCACACAGACCGTGAAAGCAACCGCGAGGTGTTTTGCAGTATGAATCACGGTCGTAAATGTCTTGATCTGTGCGCTGGGGCTGGGTTGCTCGGTGCAGGCTTGAGAGAAGGTAGTAAGGGCGTCTATGACGTAACACATGCTGTCGAGATCCGACCGCCTGCTGCACAAACTATCCGGTGAGGAAGGATCCTATTCTGCCCCCCTATAGCTTGTCTTGACCTATCTCGACAGCAATAACCATCCCTGCACAAAGGTCTATATGACATGCATGAGTGCGCTCTTGGACTCTAGCATCAAATGGCATAGTGGCGATCAAAGCGCGTACAAAAAGCTCAATGCCACTGATGGAAGCGGTCTCCCCGATACCCCTCCTCAGCCTATGGACAAGATCGACACTATCGCTGGCAGGATCCCAATGTATGTATTCTTCTTGGACATGATTCGTCGAGCTCATCTCTATGCAGGCAGTCACATCCTGGCTTGAACACATATAGGAGGCCAAAGGACAAGGAGGCTGACCTGATGTTGTCTTTCCTATCCTGGGTTCACTTCATTCGGCCCAAGTACGCTCCTTTCTGCCTTGGGAGTGTTTTTGCTCATCATACACAACTCCAGTCGGATCATCCTAGAGAACGTCAGGGGATTTATGGACTTCGCTGTCGATAGTGCTTCCTTAGATCCCAAGGAATGCCGTGGAAGCAGCCTTCGGTTTCTTGTCAACGTTCTGATGCGCCTCGGGTACGTCGTTCATTCCTGTGTTCTCCTTTGGCGATAACTCACTCCCTTCCTGTGTTCGCCAGGTATCAGGTACAGTTTTGCCTTCTCAACGCCGTGCACTATGGTGCCCCACAACATCGTGTGCAGTTCTTCCTTTTCGCCGCGAAGATCGGCTTTTCCTTGATGCACACGCCTAAACCGACACATTATCACCCCAGTGAGGCCGTGAACTTGACATACAGCCATCTTAATACCGAGGGCCAGGATGTCAAGCTATCTGCGCTAGAGACTCGACAGTATCGCGTTCCGCTGCGCTACATCTCCGTCTGGAATGCGATCAGTGACCTTATACCGTGGGATCTGTGAGTTGGGTTTCATCATCGAAGTCTTGTAGCATCGCTCATGTCTTCGATCCTCTGTAGAGAATCTCCAGATCCCCGTGTCGAGAGGCATCGCGCGGAAGACCAAGAAGATCTCACGGAGCTCCGCGAACATCTCGTCGCTTTGTGTGGGGAGATACTCGAGTACCCGCAATTGAACATCAAAGACGGCATGATCGGTCCCCAGGTCGAGACGTTCTCAACTCTCGATTCGTATCTGAGATCGCCGCGCTCGACATTCCAAGAGACAATGCGCCCCAACGATAAGGAAGTACGCGCATTGCAGCACTACTCGGTGACGATCGGCAGACCCATGACTCAGTTGTACGTTGTCTCTGCGCTCAACATTTCTTTGTACTGAACGTCGAACGCAGAGTTCGCCTTGTGCCACTTGTTCCTCGTGCCGATTGGCAAGACATACCGTGTGAGCTGGTCGAGAGATTCGCAGATTCTTCCCGTTGCAAGAAGGATTGGAAGAAGGGTGGGTCACCATGAGCCTACGTTAAGCTTTCATGCCCATTTACGACTACAGGCACTATCGGCCGCATCGACAAGGATGGGGTCTTCCAGACGATCGTCACGAATGTCCACCCTCTTGCGAAGCAGGGATGGGTCCTGCATCCCATCGTACGTGATAGTCTACTAAGCCTACTTCCATTCACCTGATGAGCATGTTCAAAGTGCCGCCGTATCTTGACCGTTCGAGAGCTGGCTCGCGCTCAAGGCATTCCGGACTGGTATTACATTTACGCTCCTGTGGACCCGGATCATGGTGTCATCACCCGCGCCGGGGTTATCGAGGTAAGATATCATGAACACCATCGAGGACAGCGATACTCACAATGTGTTACAGATGCACCGTCAGATCGGAAACGCCGTTCCGCTGCCTTTGGCCACTGCAATTGGACGTGCATTACTCGAAGCTGAGTTCGAGCCTTGGTATGCGTTACCGTATCATGAGCGGATGGCTCCGTTCTTGGACTAGGCAACGACGAGTGTCTCACGAAGGCTCATCTTCTTGATCAGTCTCGTTGAATTTGGATGTGGATATTCTCGGTGGAAATCATATGGAACTGCATCGCTATCTTCTTGTATATCGCGTCGGGTTGCTCTATCTCGTAGGAACACATCTTCTGCATCTGATTGGTACCATAATACAATGTCACGTAATACACTATCCAGTCCAGAACCATCACGCTCATTCCGCATCCTCCTCAATATCAACCAACTCCCGCCCTTCCTCGACCATCTCTCCTTCAGCGCACCCAGTACCAAGCACGACACCTCCCCTTCCAGCTCTCAACACCGTCTCGGTTTTCGTACTCTCCAGTAAGACTACGGCATCGCCCGTCTTGACCCTATCGCCGACCTTGACCTTGATCCCGATGATGAGCGATAGCATCGGTGCGCGCAATGCGCCTGCCGCCGTTGCGACATCCACGGTGATGGATAATAGCCAGGCAGGCGGTGGAAGGGCGAGCGTTGTGTGCGTGCCGTCGACGAGGAAGACGTGTAAGCGAGACGCATTGGATCCGGGAGCAGCATGCAAAGGCACTAACTGCTGTATGACCGTCGCGCGACACAATGCACCGGTAAGAGTCGTGTGAATCTCAGTCGGTGATACCAGAAAGGCATGCACGTTTTCGAACGTCGTCTGCTCGCTTTCTGCAGCCGGGCCAACTACGACGTCGTAGGCGCCGACTTCCGCCCGCGCGCGTACAGTTCCTGGACAGGTCTCGGGGCTCTTGCCTTCGCCGGCCTGAAAGGGTGATGGTGCGGACGGAGGCATGGACTGCGAAACGATGTGTCCCAAGCGATGTACGAGGCGGGGCGATAACTGGAGGTTGGTCGCGGCAGTGTTGCGCGGTCACGACAAGCATGCCCGAAGCCGGCCCGACGTGGCCGACTAGTGTCACCCCGTGTCTAGCATTTTCCATCGCGATTCAGCTACAAAGTCGTGGTCGGGGTGCCTGCGGTCATGGCCGCGACGGCGACTAGCCATGACAGACATTGATTAGTCACTGACCGCCGAAACACCGGGTCGCGGAGGGCTGCGAATAACGCTGCCTACGCTACGTCTTCGGGGTTTGGCGGTGATGGCGGTGGGAGGGGCTTTGCTCTGTGCCTCTATTCACGACAATGAGCTCAAAGTTCGGGTCTGCGTACAGACGACAGAACAACGTACGTACTGGTATGAAACCTGTGTCCACATCACCTTCGATGAACTTCGGGTGTGAAGCGAGCAAACGCCTCAACTCGACGTTCGTGTGAACACCGACGACCCTGTACTCTTCGAGTGCCCGCGACAGTAGACGCAATGCACTCTCGCGATGCGGTCCGTGTACGACGAGCTTGGCGATCATGGGATCGTTGAAAACTCCAATCCGAGCACCTGCGCTGAAACCCTGTTCAAGGCGTACTGAGGGGATGACGGTTGTAGGTGCTGGTCCTGCGGCTTCAAGGCCATCTGCCAATCTAGAGATAGGCGGGAGTGTTGGGGTAAAGATGGTGGTCGGTTCCGGGGTCGAGACATATAGCAGTGAGCCGGAGTCGGGTAGGAAGCCATTACGCGGGTTCTCAGCATCGATGCGTGCTTCGAGGGCATGGCCCGCGAGAGGGATTTGTGCTTAGGTGAGCGGAAGTGGGTTCCCAGCGGCAGCCTATACGGCGGCATCAGTGATTCAACGCACGGAGAGAATGATTGAACAAGGCGAACCTCAAGTTGCCATCCGACGAGCTCAAGTTCAGTAATTATCTCAGAGACGGGATGTTCGACCTGTAGACGCGTATTCCTGTATAGCACGAACCGATGAGCCACTTCGTCGCCTTGTAGCACCTGGAATCGGGGATGCACTCACTCCATGAAGTAGAAGTGTCCATCGTCGCGGTCGAGGATGAACTCGACCATGCCTGCACCAACATATTTCACCGCTTCAGCGTCCGCGACTACTTTAGCGCACAAGTCCGCGCGCAGCTCGGGCGCAAGTCCTGGTTCAAGGGCTTCTTCGATGATCTTCTGGTTCCCGTACGTGAGAAGACGCATCAAACTTTGACAGTGTGGCTATGGCGGGGAAGGGGATGAAACGCACGTCGTTGTCCGCCATAGTCGAGACTGACAGCATTGCCGTGTGTACCGGCGAAGACCTGCACCTCGATATGCCGCGGGCGCGCAACGAATCTGCAAAAGGCCCTCGTCAACGTCCAAGCTATTCCATTTTGCGATGCATGGCTACGCACTCCTCGACGAGCACATCCGCATTGCCGAGCCTCTTCTGTGCCTTGCGTTGACACCAGGCCAGCGCCTCCTTAGATTCATTGGAAGGATTTATAGTGCACATTCCCTTCGTGAACAGCTTTGACGAGCACCGGGTACCCTGGGTGTAACACGGCTTCAGAAAGAGCGACGGCGGAAAATAGAATGAAGCGTACCAGTTTTCCCGACCTTTTGCTAGAGGAAGCCCGAGTACTGTCTCGTGAGATGATAAACTGATACACACAGCACACCGGCGGCGGACATAATCGTCTTGGATTCGCTGGTATGGTTGGGAAGGCTATGAGTTCAGTGTCTAAGCCTGAGAGAATAGACTTGCACACCTCTTAGACCCCAGGCTCACAATCACGTTCGCTGGAGGACCGATGAAGAAAACGCCTGCAGCAGCAAGAGCATCTGCGAAAGCCCCATTCTCGCTTAAAGAAGCCGTGTCTACACATCAGTCAGCACACTTCCTTCTCCATCATGTCGTAGAAGGGACATACGCTGGACGTACAGCCTAATGGAAGAGAAGAGATGGGTGCGCATCAGCCACAACATCTCAGTGAAACGAAAGACGTGTCAAGTTTACCTGCGCGCCGATCCGTTTGCACAACGTCGATGATCTTGTCCATACGGAGGTAGCTATCCGCACTTGGTGCCGGGCCAATGCAAGACGCTTTATCCGCCTGCGTGTCCCAATATCAGTACCACGCCTGAAACAGATATTCGATGGAAGTCTACTGACGAGGTGAACATGCATGGAACCTGCGTCGGCCTCTCTGTATACAGCGACAGTGCGTACACCAAGCTCACGCGCAGTGCGTATGATGCGACATGCTATCGCGCCTCTGCCGGACGTCCAGTATCAGCGGCAGTACGGTAAGCGCAAATGACAGTGACGCACCTGTTCGCGACTAGTATCTTATCAAAGTGCGGTTTCTTCTCGAGAGGAGCAGCCTCCGGATGAGCTTCAGTCGCCAAACCCCGCGAGCGAGTAGTGACTACTGGATCCGCGCGTGTTCTGATTTGAGGTTGAGGGAGTTGATGCGGTTGAGAGAATTGTGCGCGCGCGAGGTGAGATCCGACCGGCCCACTCGCCGCGCTATATGCAACAGCGCGACGTAGGAAGGCAGAGGCGACGCTGCGTAAACAATCATAACGCCCAGAGCACTTGGGATCTTGATGCCATGAGATGATAGTTCAAGCTAAAGACCTTTGGTCCTGTAGTTGCAGTATCGAGCTCGAGGATCGATGCACTCTGAACGACACTGAGGCAAGAAAGCGACCGCTTCCGGATGAAATGTCACTGAGAGTTCGAGAGAGACGAGGTCAATGAGCCGCTTGCTCTTGCACTCAAGCAGCAGAGGACGCGAGGTGCAGGTAGAGGTTACCTCCCACTTTCGAGATCCGGCGCAACCGGTGATTGCCGGAGACGCGCTGATGCGATCAGTTGCGTTGCATCACCCGGATCCCAGCCTTTTTGAACCCAAGCCACGCAGTCCTGCACGGCCTTGTGTTTTAGTGGACAGAAAGATCAGTCGAGGATACTATTTCAAATCGCCATAGGAGACTCAGCCAGGAGAGAGGGCGGGCTGGAGCGACAACGTCGCTCGTATCAGCCGCGCCGGCCGAAGCCCTGGCCGGCCACAATTGCTTTCGACTTCGAACAGAAACTCTTATACACTGTAAGGCTTGTAGCGCCAGTGGTATACTCACCCTGCACAATATTCCCGCTACGAGCGCTAGTAGGGCTCCTGCCGGGGTCGTGGGATCCGCTGACAGAAGCTTGCGCTCTCCTCGAGTCTTTCGTCGTCTTCGCACCTCCATCTCTGCTCACTATTCCGCAACAAACTCGCCAACTCTTATGACTACCTTGCCTCCCACGCACACCCATGCGGGACCTTCTACGCACCCCCATGCGGGTCGCTTTATGCACACACCACCTACGTACGTCAATGCCCACTCGCCCATGGTGTATCCCTCTCATTCCTCACAATCACAGACCGCGTCCTGTCCAGCCACTGCCGATTCCTCGGCTTGTGCCGTTCTGCCTCCCATCATAAGCGATATCCTGTCATCTGCATCTCCCCTCCGCTCCCTCTTGCTCGCTCCCGACACAATCATTCGCAACACTCTCCTCTCACATGGTATCATGCGCACTCAGTCATCCATCGTTGCCTCCCACCGTGCCGTCCTCATACAGCACATCCTGTCTGGTGCATGTTTCCATTTCCCTCATGGGCCCCGCCCCCCGACTGCATCTCCTTGTCCAAACCATACACATCTCCTCGCCTACATGGATAATCTGTTCAGTATCATTTGCGCCGCGAAATTTCCCCTTGTTCATTTATGCACAGTTGCCTCTGCCCTAGACTTGCCTCGCCTCACCCGTCGTGAGTACATACGATCTGATCCTGTTGATTATAAATCGATTGCTGTCGCTCGCGCTTCAGTGCACAATATGCCTGAAACCGCGCAACCACGGCTAGCGCCGCGTGCAACGAGCTTCGACGTGGTCGTTGTGTCTTTCGCGTCGCATGCGACACCGAACATGCTGGTTCGCTATGATATGTACATACAAGTATTGCTAAGTGAGCTTATTACGGATGCTCTTGATGTCCCACTGTTGCTGGGCAAGGCTGCAAGCACCGTTCTCAAACGAAAGTCTTTCAACCACTTGGTCTCACTACTCATGGGACCGCGTGCGGTGCGTCGCTCGCAACCGGACTTGCTTGCCGTAGCGGGTCTTGCCGCTTGCGGCCCTATTGCAGTTATTTAGTGTGGCGAAAGACACAGAAGTTCCAGCTGAGTTTACAAATTACAGCTGCCGCCAGCCCAAATCGCGTGAGCCTGGGAACGTTGTGGGGCCGAGTAGATGGTGATCGAAGCTTGGCGGCTGCTGTTTCAGCGCCGCCACCACTGCCCGCGCTCGAAGTGCGTATGCAGACCTTGTGCCCTCCCACCCCGACAGCCGTGTTGCGGAATGGGAACGGCCCACTGAGACACTACCTATAAGACGAATCCTCGCGCTAGGAACGACACCTTGTGTGACCAGATGTGTCCCGTGCTCCCCACGTCAAGAGCCTCCATTATCATCGCATTTTTGGTCACGTACTTGGTGGGCAGCATGAAGATGGTACGAAGCATGACCTGCAGGCTCTTACGCATCTGCATTGCTGTGAGGTTTAGAAGTACACAAGCAACTGGGCAAGTTCCTTTACCTGGCGGTAGGGACCTTCGATCGGTAACTTTACTTGAAGCACTCAAGCTCTCGCTGCGCCCACGTCCCCCTTGAGTACTTGGAGTGCCTTGCTCGACGAGTCGGCCGTCGTAAACGCCGTCGATGCATGCCTTAAGTGAGCTTACGCGGCGCAGCTGATGAAGGACCGACGAATTAACTGCCCCGTCTAGTGATGGCCCTCCCGATGAGTACGCAAGTCGACCATCTCGATTATATCGCGGTTCGCTCAGTTCTCTACGCAGCTTTGACGGTGTCAAAAGTGGACCATCTGACTGCGGCAACAGGTACAGCAAGCTCACGTTCATGGCTCATAGTAGCTGATCAAAGCCCAGGATGTTCGCTCTTATCATCGGCGTTGATACATACGCTGACCCACGACACAACCTGTTCGGAGCCGTCAACGATGCATGAAACGTCAAGGAGCTGCTACTCAGTCTACGTCCGCCGATCAATAAAGAACGCATCGTCTTCCTGCAGGACGACGCAGCGACGGCGGATGGCATTACTCGGGCGCTAGTCGACCTCTGTACCAACGACGACATCAAACATGGGGATCCCATCCTCGTCTACTATGCTGGGCACGGCAGTACTCTCCCGAGACCGACTGGGTGGGCATCAATGAATTCGCGCGTACAATGTTTGGTGCCACATGACGCTCGCGTAGAGAAGGCTACGGTTGTCGGCGTCATCCCGGACTACACTATCGGTGCACTTCTGGGTCGCCTTGCTAACGCGAAGGGAGATAACATCGTGGGTGGTCAAGTCTCTCCCTTTCTGGATGCTCGCTTACGCATGACAAGGAAGACCGTGATTCTAGATTGCTGCCATTCTGGTTCTGGTACGCGCAACCAAGATGCCGTTCAGCGTAGCATATCCTTCGAATCCAAGGACGGCAAGAAGGACGTCACGATCAGCGCATCGTATCAACGAGATATATGGGCGCCTTCTCTGCGAGGCATCGCCAGCATGCCTGAGTTCTCGAACACTGGTCTACGCTCTCATATCGTTCTGGCGGCCTGCGGTCCTGAGGAGAGCGCCTTCGAGGATCGGCGTACCCATGAGAGTCGCCTTACAGCGGCTCTCCTGCGCGTCCTTCGAGAAGTCGGTCCGGATACATTGACTTATGCCGAACTCATCAGGCGCATCGATTGTATTCCGTCGTAAGTGGTAGCTCATAGGCGCTCGAGCGGAATATGCTGATGAAGAACTTCTAGTCAGACGCCTCGATGCGAGGGTCATGGAATGGAAACCCGGATACTGTTCAACTCAAGCCTGAGGCAGCGAGGTCGTCCACGCTATCAAGTAACCGGATCTGAATCGTCGTTCACCATCCTTGCTGGAGAGATACACGGGGTAACAGAGGGAGACATATTCGATGTGTACAGCAACGAGGGATCTTCCTCCGCTGAAGACAAGCCCCTTGGTAGCCTGGTCATCGAGGCTAGAAGCGCCGTGTCTAGCTCGGCAAAGCTTATCGACGGTTCTGAGGCATGTATCCCTCGTACAGGCTGCGTCGCGACATTGTCCCGCGTGCACAGTCATGGCGCGTTTCGCGTGTATGTCGACATAGACAAAGCCACTGATGGAGAGCTCAGAAGCCGAGTACTTCGAGTGTTGGTTCAAGCGGCTCTTGTCGGCCAGTCGGCCAGTCCTTCCAGGGCGGCCATCACCGTAGCATCGAAGGAAACAGCTCATATGTCCGTCACTTCGACCGCTCACGACGCTGTTTCTTTCGGCTTCATCGACGAGCACGTACGCGCTCTCGGGATAGAGCGCCTCGGCGGGCCCGTCTTGACCGACGACCTCTCCCTTCGTTACGCTCTGCGCTCGGCCGCCCACTTCTTTCGCTACTTGGGCTCTTCCCCGTTGTCCGCGAACCTCCGTCAAGCTGTCTCGGTGACAATCTGGGAGCTTCAGGCGCAGCTCGGACGCAGTGCCGCGGGCGCTATCATGCAGATGTGGAGTCCTACTGGCAAGCCTATCGACGCGAGAAGATGCGGCGTAGTCCGGCCATCGTTATGCCGGATGGTCAAATACACGCCACTGAACACCATGTATGGTGTAGAAGTTCTCAATAAAACGAACAGGGACTTGTTTGTGTGGATGTTCTACTTCGACTGTAGCATGTTGGAGATCAGTACGTGTCCCTGGTCCTCCTCGTGTGCTTACCGAGGTCTCACACGACGCTGTAGTCAACTTTTACTCCCCTCCTCTCACTGCAGGCGCCGGAGATGCTGACCCGCCGCTGCCCGCCGGTATGACGAGCTCTCTGCCGTTGAACTTCGGCGACTCGGGCGGAGTGCCGCTCGCGTTCGCTCTGCCACCGGGACAGAGCAGGGACGCGGGTTTCTTGCGTATCTTCGTCTCGACGCGGTACGCCGACTTGTCGGGCGT